TCTAGTTCTGTTCTAGTTCTGTTCTGTTCTGTTCTAGTTCTGTTCTAGTTCTGTTCTAGTTCTGTTCTAGTTCTGTTCTAGTTCTGTTCTAGTTCTGTTCTAGTTCTGTAGTTCTGTTCTAGTTCTGTTCTAGTTCTGTTCTAGTTCTGTTCTAGTTCTGTTCTAGTTCTGTTCTAGTTCTGTTCTAGTTCTGTTCTAGTTCTGTTCTAGTTTGTTCTAGTTCTGTTTTAGTTCTGTTCTAGTTCTGTTCTAGTTCTGTTCTAGTTCTGTTCTAGTTCTGTTCTAGTTCTGTTCTAGTTCTGTTCTAGTTCTGTTCTACTTCTTCTGTTCTAGTTCTGTCTTTCTAGTTCTGTTTAGTTCTGTTCTAGTTCTGTTCTAGTTCTGTTCTAGTTCTGTTCTAGTTCTGTTCTAGTTCTGTTCTAGTTCTGTTCTAGTTCTGTTCTAGTTCTGTTCTAGTTCTGTTCTAGTTCTGTTCTAGTTCTGTTCTAGTTCTGTTCTAGTTCTGTTCTAGTTCTGTTCTAGTTCTGTTCTAGTTCTGTTCTAGTTCTGTTCTAGTTCTGTTCTAGTTCTGTTCTAGTTCTGTTCTAGTTCTGTTCTAGTTCTGTTCTAGTTCTGTTCTAGTTCTGTTCTAGTTCTGTTCTAGTTCTGTTCTAGTTCTGTTCTAGTTCTGTTCTAGTTCTGTTCTAGTTCTGTTCTAGTTCTGTTCTAGTTCTGTTCTAGTTCTGTTCTAGTTCTGTTCTAGTTCTGTTCTAGTTCTGTTCTAGTTCTGTTCTAGTTCTGTTCTAGTTCTGTTCTAGTTCTGTTCTAGTTCTGTTCTAGTTCTGTTCTAGTTCTGTTCTAGTTCTGTTCTAGTTCTTTCTAGTTCTGTTCTAGTTCTGTTCTAGTTCTGTTCTAGTTCTGTTCTAGTTCTGTTCTAGTTCTGTTCTAGTTCTGTTCTAGTTCTGTTCTAGTTCTGTTCTAGTTCTGTTCTAGTTCTGTTCTAGTTCTGTTCTAGTTCTGTTCTAGTTCTGTTCTAGTTCTGTTCTAGTTCTGTTCTAGTTTGTTCTAGTTCTGTTCTAGTTCTGTTCTAGTTCTGTTCTAGTTCTGTTCTAGTTCTGTTCTAGTTCTGTTCTAGTTCTGTTCTAGTTCTGTTCTAGTTCTGTTCTAGTTTTGTTCTAGTTCTGTTCTAGTTCTGTTCTAGTTCTGTTCTAGTTCTGTTCTAGTGCTGTTCTAGTTCTGTTCTAGTTCTGTTCTAGTTCTGTTCTAGTTCTGTTCTACTGTTCTAGTTCTGTTCTAGTTCTGTTCTAGTTCTGTTCTAGTTCTGTTCTAGTTCTGTTCTAGTTCTGTTCTAGTTCTGTTCTAGTTCTGTTCTAGTTCTGTTCTAGTTCTGTTCTAGTTCTGTTCTAGTTCTGTTCTAGTTCTGTTCTAGTTCTGTTCTAGTTCTGTTCTAGTTCTGTTCTAGTTCTGTTCTAGTTCTGTTCTAGTTCTGTTCTAGTTCTGTTCTAGTTCTGTTCTAGTTCTGTTCTAGTTCTGTTCTAGTTCTGTTCTAGTTCTGTTCTAGTTCTGTTCTAGTTCTGTTCTAGTTCTGTTCTAGTTCTGTTCTAGTTCTGTTCTAGTTCTGTTCTAGTTCTGTTCTAGTTCTGTTCTAGTTCTGTTCTAGTTCTGTTCTAGTTCTGTTCTAGTTCTGTTCTAGTTCTGTTCTGTTCTAGTTCTGTTCTAGTTCTGTTCTAGTTCTGTTCTAGTTCTGTTCTAGTTCTGTTCTAGTTCTGTTCTAGTTCTGTTCTAGTTCTGTTCTAGTTCTGTTCTAGTTCTGTTCTAGTTCTGTTCTAGTTCTGTTCTAGTTCTGTTCTAGTTCTGTTCTAGTTCTGTTCTAGTTCTGTTCTAGTTCTGTTCTAGTTCTGTTCTAGTTCTGTTCTAGTTCTGTTCTAGTTCTGTTCTAGTTCTGTTCTAGTTCTGTTCTAGTTCTGTTCTAGTTCTGTTCTAGTTCTGTTCTAGTTCTGTTCTAGTTCTGTTCTAGTTCTGTTCTAGTTCTGTTCTAGTTCTGTTCTAGTTCTGTTCTAGTTCTGTTCTAGTTCTGTTTCTATGTTCTGTTCTAGTTCTGTTCTAGTTCTGTTCTAGTTCTGTTCTAGTTCTGTTCTAGTTCTGTTCTAGTTCTGTTCTAGTTCTGTTCTAGTTCTGTTCTAGTTCTGTTCTAGTTCTGTTCTAGTTCTGTTCTAGTTCTGTTCTAGTTCTGTTCTAGTTCTGTTCTAGTTCTGTTCTAGTTCTGTTCTAGTTCTGTTCTAGTTCTGTTCTAGTTCGGTTCTAGTTCTGTTCTAGTTCTGTTCTAGTTGTTCTAGTTCTGTTCTAGTTCTGTTCTAGTTCTGTTCTAGTTCGGTTCTAGTTCTGTTCTAGTTCTGTTCGTAGTTCTAGTTCTGTTCTAGTTCTGTTCTAGTTCTGTTCTAGTCTGTTCTAGTTCTGTTCTAGTTCTGTTCTAGTTCTGTTCTAGTTCTGTTCGAGTCTGTTCTAGTTCTGCTCTAGTTCTGTCTAGTTCTGTTCTAGTTCTGTTATAGTTCCTCTAAAGATTGTATAGCTATTAATAGTTTTAAGTTAAATATTAATTCACACTAGGAACATAAGGACATGAAGTAACAAAAGAAATTGTACGAATTTGTTTTAATGTTTTAACCAGAAATTATAAACGCCTATTATAAATAATATTTTGATATTCCGTTTGTCCTTCATTGATTTGTCATTTTTTCAGGGTGGATAAAAGTCCTTTTCGTGAATATCTTCGGAGTTATGAATACACAAAATAGAATATTCATTTAATATTCGACTAACTAACTAACTAAGTAACTAACTAACTTACTAGCTTATTGACTTATTAACTAACTTACTTACTAACTTACTAACTTAATAACTTACTAACTAACTATCTTATTGACAAATTTGTAGTGAATAATTTAATCACTTCTCTTTGGAATGATCTTCGTTAATTTTTTTTACATTAAAGGAAACCTCGAGAAGAGACAACTACAGAAATAGTTTCAGAGATGGGAATTAGTTTTTAATAATAACGATCGTCACTAGGTTTTGGACATTTTTAACAATCACTTCTTGAACTAGTTCTCTTATCAAAGATTTTCCATCTAAATTATAACCAACTGATTTTGTTCTTGGATCTTGTTTAGGCTCAGTTTAGTTTTTACATTAAAGATTTTCATTCGAAATGAATGAATGCAAATCTTAGTCCTGATCAGTTTTCACTCTCGGAACTTGTATTTCTTACAGACGGATCTTTTGTATGGTGGACTTCAAACTACGAAGAAGTTTGTTGTAGATCAGCTATAAAAAGTTCCGAGATCAGCATGCATTAGGTTAACGGGTGCTCTAAGAACTAGTCCTTCAGAAGCTCTGAACACTATATTGCACATTCTACCTATAGATCTGCATATAATGGTCATATCCACGTTAACCAACCAACAACCAGTTACTTTGGGATTTCATCAAAGATTTTCATTCTAAATTATTACTCGCAAAACTTGTTTTTGGATCCTTTTTAGAACCAGTATTCTAAATTCCCATCTTCAAAATAAGTTTTTGGGTTTTCTTGGGTTCTAATTTTGTTAATTAGTTTTTGCATCAAAGACTTGGTATAATTACTAATTATAGGCCATCGTTGGAACTAGTTCTTGAATCTACTTGGGGTCTATTTTGTTAAATAGTTAATGCATCAGAGACTTGGTTTGATTCCTAATTATAGACGAATCTATATAGTTCTTGAATCTAGGGGCTGTTTATAAACAAGTTTTATCACAGATATTCATTCAAAGTTATCGCCCTAGGAACTAGTAGTTCTTGAATTTCCTTTTTAGTTAAACTTCAATTAAAGAGTTCTTTGATTTCTCTTGTATTGATCTTCAATCCAGATCAAGATCATATTGAAGTTAGTTTTTTTTATATTAATTGAAACATTTGAAAATCTTCTGGACAATAGACCTTTTAAAGATTTATTTATCGAAAAGTTATAAAAAATTTCCATAACAATTAAATTTACCCCCTGTTAGGCATATTCATTCCTCGATCACTTTTCCTAAACCACTTAATTTTCTTCATGTTTTTGGAAAAAAATCCAAAAATGTGATAATTCACCAAAGAGCGTAAAGAATTTTGCCTAAAACACACGGCAATTAAACATCAAGGACAAGAGCCGAGTAATAAAACGTTTCATGGGCGAGGATCAGAAGCAAGAAAGCGAAAATAATATGAAGATCACTAGGCTGCGATCTACAGCATGTTTGCTAATTACTAACAAACACATTGCGGTAAGGATAAGATTGGTCTTTTTTGGACGGAAAAGAAAAATGATCTTAAGACGAGGCCATAGCCGACAGCTAACGATTAAAAGTGTGCAAAATTGATTAGAAGCCGGCAAAACACTAGAGAGAAAGAGAACAAAAACAAAAGATCACTAACACACACAGGTAAGCCCGTAAAAAGAAGACAAATTAATAAGGGAGAATGTTGTGAAATTTGAAGCGCCTTGGGTGTTTAGGTAGCCGATGGCAAACAACAGTTAGGTAATGGTATAGAAAAGCAAACATGTTACTAGAATGAGGGATTTCTATTAAAGCGTAGCCGGATTAAGTCTAGTCATAAACAAAAGGATTTTGAAATGAAATTTCAAAAACTATTGTTAAGACAACAAAAAAAGGTGTAACGGTTAAGAGAGAATACAAAAACAAATTTAACCTTAAGTTAATGATAATGTAAGGATTTTCTTAAAACATGAACGACATATGAAAAGTTGATCCTAGATTAAAGAGAAGATATATAGACGGACAGACTTGATGGAGGGACGGACAAAATGACAAATTTTGCATACCTGGTGCTGCTCAAAAGGACTATAAAAGGTTGAGCTAATAACGGAACTAACAACATTCACTCATCATAACTCAAACAGTAAACATCTCATTTGCTAACAACTTCATCTTCGAAAATCTTAAATTATCCTTAAACATGGCTCCTTCACAAATCAAACTATGGAAACTTTAGAATATACCCACAAGAAATTCAACTGTGGTTACTCACACAAAAAACTGGGCTTGCGTTTACTGCGCCGCAATAGCCAAGAAGAAGAGGAGGAGCTACCACAACAATCCCCCCAAAATAATACTAATTCAAGCAACAACTCCTCTAAAACCACACTCTTCCGTCCCTATGATTTGGATAGCAAAACAAGAAATCAAAAAACTACTTCCTCAACATCTCCTCAATCATCACCATTACCCCAAAACCCAGCAACAACACCTCACCACTATATGGAATATTATGCTCTTCAGCCCACCGTGCAACAATCTCAAGAACAATATGCTCTTAAGCTGCAAAGACAACGTGCTGCCCTCTATATGAAACATGTTATGCAATTCTATGAGAATGGCAATGGCTGGCCCTCGGTACATCCAAATGCCATTAATAATCCTGCCTTTTATCCTAATTGCTAAAGAGAGGGCAGATTATCAATCTATTATATTTAAAAAGAGTCTAAAGTCTAGTGATATGTTCTTTGAGAATGAACATTTGTTGTTGGTGTTTTTAATTTATTATTAATTTCTTTATATTATTTAGTTTTTAAGTTAAAATTTTCTTGATTACAATTTATTTATAAAATATATATGATCGCTAAAAAACAGAAACAAAATTTTGGTTTAATTTCGTTTTGATCATGGCTATTATTTCGTGAACTATGGGAGATATCATAAAGAAATTTCGCATAGTTGGAACTGAGGTAATTGCTAAGACATGTGTTTTCTTTATAATGTGTTTTTGCGGTCCACTGATCAGTTGAATTATGTTTCTTGAGATATCGTAAACAAGTTTCCTGATTTGAGAGAAATACAACCCAATAAATCTATAGAGAAGGAGGTAATCACTCAATTGAGTCAATAGAGAGGGGTTCTTTCCTACTCCTACAATCATACTTAATGATCTACCTTACCTCTGCCTAATCACAGAGACGGACCAACAGACATATTTAGTAAACCGAGGAGGCAAACCTCAACCGCAGTCGAGCAGCATGGCACAATATGAAAACTATTGAGATGTCAATAGAAACGAAGACTTTCCTGAAATATCCAGGCAAACGCAAGACTTCCGAAAAGGTAATCAACAGTATGGGTGCTTAGGAACCCAACTATTTCGTTGCTCCAGTGATCTAAATACTAAGGAGAACAGATCAGATTAAGTACGTCCAACACCGTAAAAAACCGATATAGTCTCCTGAAAAATATGCTTAATCCAGTGGACATTGCACGATACTATTAGCACGACCCTATTTAATGATTGTTATCAAATCTTTTGACGAAATCCCGACACGCGTTATAAAGAAACAATTTGGCATTGATATAGATACCCTTTCAAATTCGGGTTGTGGTTGATCGCTTTCCGTTCGTCAAGAATTATTTGCCTTTGACTCAGCTAAAACGTTAGCTTTATCAACCGAATCTGTGAATGTTTTTCCTTGAAAATTCGCCTTCAGATATGAGCCGCCCGACTGTGAATACGTGTTCATTGGAAGGCAAATCAAACTAAATGAATCTGTAAAGATGCCAGTCAGGAGTACTTTGTTCAACGACATAAATTCTACTAAGAAGAGAAGCTTCTTCGGATTATAAATTGTGATTTCCTTACAGCTGATCAGGAGATTGATCAAGGCAATCTAATCCGAAAGAAATTCAGTAGCAACACGATCATATTGAATGAAAGGTTTAGATTAACTAACAGCCATTGTTAATGACGAACTATTTAAGCTTCGCCAGCTCTTGTAGATTAATAATACTAGCAAGATTAAGTTAAACGTATGTGAATTACAAAATACTTAGTGTTTACCAAGAATAGGATAAATAACTTAAAGGTAGCAGTGATCCGATTTCGACGGAGAAAGAACCATTGTACAATTCTGAAATAATGTAGAAGATGGCCTGATAACTTTCTTTACCCAGTAACTCTCTAATTAACATCCACGTTCATAATGACAATGATAAGATTCTGAGACAGAGTTATCAGTAGGAATTATCAAATTCATCGGATTTTTTCTTCATACGAAGTGCTTCAGCGTTTCTTCCTTCCGTTCGTCTCATTTTTACAAGGTGATGGTGGGAAGTTCCTTCCATGCTGTTGGTGTCCCAAACTCAATTCTCCATTTGTATGTGGTGTCGCGTTAGGATCCTACCTATGGTTACCTATGATTCTATGGAGCCCTGCAGTGCGTTGACTTGATGCCCTATGAGGTTGAAGCCAGAATAGAAGTCATTTTCGTGAGATTCACCTCCACTCACAGAAATTTTAGAATATACCAACCGTCAGTTCAGGGTCATCAATATCAAATCGGATCCGCAATAAGCTCTTACTGGCCTCGTTTTAGTTACTGTCGCCCCATCCTCTATTATCTATCTATCATCTATCTATCTATCTATCTATCTATCGATCTATTTCTATCTATCTAGCTATCTATCTATCTATCTATCTATCTAATATCTATAT